AACTGCACGACTGGATGGAGCAAGACCGCTGGATCGGAGGCTATTGAGTGAGTCAATTAGCTTGAGTCAAGTGGATCAGTTGGTCGGTGGGGCTCAAGACCCTACAGCGGTTCAGCAGCTGCTCTTGAAGGCCAAAGTACTTGATATTGGAGCCATTCGACCTTGTCAAACGCCGTTGTACGTACACAGACAAGTGATTCTACTGGGAGAAGTTGATCAGAGCATTACTCGTCCCCCGCCTGGAGCGACACCCAACACGCAGAGAATGACACAAGGCTTGCACTTGATGGTTCTGTGGGCCGACCAAGTGGCGCTCAGTCGCTTGTTCCGAGTTGGCGACACGCTCGCAGTTTTCCATCCGTTTGTGCACGTGTGCGACCAGCACGACACGGAGATTCTGCACATTCTGAACGAGTATTCATCTCAGCAGCGACTTTTGTATTTCTTTGAATACGGCAGTGCGACCGTGTTATTCTGCAAGCCATGTCGAGTTGATACAGCGACGACAACTACTCCAGCACGTGACCCAAATTATTGCGAAATGGAGCGGCCATTCTCCCGATTGGAAGAGATCAAACCAGGATGGAACAACTTCTCGCTGTATGCTCATGTGAGGAGCATCAAAGTCTCACACGGTATTCCGTTACTTGCGACGTTCTTTTACGCGTACTACGACCCCAAGACGAACCAGCCAAGCGACGTGAACACGACAGCGCAGCCTCCTCCATTGGACCGCTCCATCGTGTCGAAGTACTACCTGGTCGTGATGCTACAAGTCTACATCGCGGCCTCTCAAAGTCTACTGACGATCGAGGTAACAGGTGCGAATGCAGTGGCAGCACTTCGTCTTCTGCCTGGCCAGAGCGTCTTCCTGGATGGACTTGTGGCGATGGATCTTCAGTCCAAATCCGTGAGGCGATTCCGTGAACGAGCCTTCATGCCACCGAGCTCAGCGACTTCGGCTGAGTTTGCCTTTCCGACAGCAGCGTACAGCTCTTCGTCAACTTCCAATGTCGTCGTGCTGTGTTCGGATTGGGAAAGCATTTTCGGAAAGCAATCCCTATTCAGCAATAGTTCCAAGTTGACAGTGGTGAATACGACGTCTGGTCTTATGAACACTGCACTGGATCGGTCGACAACGCTGCATAGTGTCGCAAAGCACCCACTCGCGATGGTCGAAATGACGGTGACAGCAGTGGGCTGGCTGATTCCTGGATCGTCACACATGATCGACACAACTTGTGAGAAGGGACACTCCACCACTTCTGCGCATAAATCTTGCTCTCGACCATTGGAGATGATGCCCAGAGATCAAACGGCGTCGGGGCTGCCTAAGTGGAAGTGCTCCTTTTGTCAAGAAGT